AAACAGCTCAAAACTAATCAAAATATTTTGAAAATTTTATAAAATATAGAAAATGCCTATATAAACATTYAGTAAAAATTTGTAGTTATCCCTGTAAGTCTATAATTTTGATATTTCCGTTATTTTGCGAGATATCGTAATAGGTAAGCTCTCGCGGGACAACCTGTACAATACTCTATATTCTATAAAAGTATAAAGTAAAGAAAATKAACTATATACTGTTACATCTCACAAGAATTTTCTATGTAGGTAGGTAAATAACATACATCTTTGGTAATTCTTTACTTATTCTTACCTATAGGCTATATAGGTACCTTAGCCCTTAGGACACTATATTGAGCGTAAATAATAGCAACCGATCGAATTCCTGTCTTACATTATGGGTATAAAATAATAAACAGCCATATACAGGTATAGGTCAGTGGCGGCGAGAACTTTGTTTTCCTGTGAAGCAACTATAGGTACCCTTAATAAGCATCTACTACCAACCCACCATTGTTTTCACACTTTTCACACTTAACTTACACATTTTAAACACAGGTTGTATGTGGCTATTATGTGAATATAAATTATAAACTAGTCTAGCTTTCTAGGTCCTGGAGACTGGTGTCATTACAAGGATAGCCACCCCCACTTGTACATAAACCGGCCACCACTGAGATGGGTAGACGTATATACTCTTCTAAAAAGCATTTTGATAATCTTAACTTTTAAATTAAAATCAGGTCACGTGGTACACCACGTTGTATTGTAGTATCGAATCGTGATATAAGTATACATATATGATATATTATATATACACGCTATTATAGCAGCAGCAGTAGCGATTTTCTTTACACATCACACTGGATATATAACGTATATAAATATCTAGATATGCATTGGTAATACTACACATTCAATTGTGTGGGTGTTAAAAATTAAAAATTACAAATACAAATTACTTAATTCACAATATTTTTAACGACACCAATGTTATAATAATTAATATTTAATTATATAGGACCTATATATTATAGGTACTTAAATAAGATATTAATAATAAGTAAAGATCTATATCAATGGTTTCCAAACTACAGCCCGCGAAGAAAGTTATCATTCGCCCACCTCCAAAAGACAGAAAACAGGTAGGTAATCTAAAAATATGTGTAACATCCACAATCGTTATTGCGCGCACGGGTTAATTAAATATATAGAACAAGATTATTGTAGGTACTTAGGTATCATATTGACTATTGTTATAATAAATTAATATCACCTACATCATAATTATATTACAAAGTATATGGAAATATATTATATGGAATTATTTTTAAAAATATTTATCAATTTATATATTTCTATAAAATTAAAACTTACTTATTAATACAATATATAATATATACTACTTACTTACATACTTTTTAGGGCCATCGCTTAGAGCTTTTGGTATTTTATGCGTGACCCTTGAGTTAAAAGCGTGGAGACCCCGCTACCCYTGATCTATATTAAAGCAAATTTACTTGTCTTCGGTTACAAATTTATCATTAATAAACCTACTTATATCTTTTTATTTGAACAAAATTGTTAATCATTTTTCATTTTTTAACAGTGAAAAGCTTGACAATTTATTCGTATATGTCATACGTATTTGCCACATTACATCACTAGTATAAGTACATAATTATAATCGAGTAAATTCGGGGTCACGGGGGGCTGACAAAATATTTTAAGGTCTTGAACAAGAACAACCGCTAGCCCTATATACTTGTTGCGGCCATAATTATAAATACACAATTTATAATCAGTCGACAGTTAGACCTATAGGTTTGATATGTCGGAGTCAGAATAATATATACTTTGTGARACAAGTAATTTTTTTCCGTAACCAATTTTATAAACGTAAGTATAAATATGTTCCTCCTATATGTATTGGTAAATTAATTAATTTTTATTCTATGCATAATAGCAGTTGTGATGACGAGTAACTCGTCTGGTCCGCAGCATAGGCGCTTTATTTCAATAAAAAAAACTAAGGGTGTGCTTGCATTTTGTCATTTTAGTTTTTTTTTWTGAAAGAAGAAGTTTTTGATACATAAGCACGATCATTATTTGGGGGGTGCTAATACCCCCCAAGCCCCCTTCTATTAGCGCCTATGGTCCGCAGGGAGAGAAACGATGATAACATTATAACAAAATCAGTAACTAATTTATTGTCGTGGATCGAGAGGAAAGGGAAACGTCGCATAACACCACTGTTCGTCGGTGCGTAAAAAATAATTATTGCTATATTACATTATTACATAATATTGCGCGTAATCATCGGCCAGCCGTCTAAATTTCGACGGATTTTATTTCAAACATCATGCGTGAAAAAAAATGGCGTTCGCGTAGAGGACGGCGCGTTATCACAGCGGTTATCTCTGTCGGGAACCCACCATACCCGCGGTATGGYCTGGGTGGGCAGTGAGCAGACGTGCGCAATATTGATGGAGAAAACGCGACGAATAATGACAATTTCCCTCGGCCCGAAGACGAACCGATCGCTGAAAAAAACGACGAAAATAATATAATTCCATATAAAATCTTCAGGCCGGGTACGATAATCGAGCGCTGAAGTGAAAAGAGAAAGAGAACTGAGAAACGTTATTGTGATATAATATTTTTTATTAATAAAATTATTATTTATTATTATAAACCGAAGTGGCGGACGGCAGTCAGTGGCTCCGGACGGCGGGCGAGAAGGAAAAACAGCTGATCGG